CAGCATACAGCATACAGCATACAGCATACAGCATACAGCATACAGCTCAAAGTGATCCAGCATCTCTGCACTCAGGACATGCAGAAAAAACTACTATAGTTATTTCATGCCACCTAGTGGCCAATAGATAAATTATCAGTAACTTTGAAACAGTTACCACTATGTGTATGTTTAAAAAAAAAAAGGTAAAGATTTCCCCTGTCCAGTTGTGTCCGAATCTAGGGGGCAGTGCTCATCTCTGTTCCTTAGTTGAGGGAGCCAGCCTTGTCCCAAGATGTTTCTGTGGTCATGTGCCAGCATGACTATATGCTGAATGGAATGCCGTTACCCTCTCATTGAAGTGGTACCTACTGTATTTTTTGGAGTATAAGATGCACCTCCCCCCCCTAAAAGAGTGTGAAAATGTTGGTGCATCTTATACATCCAATACAGCCATTTTTGGCCTCCCAAAAGCACTCTGCTGGCTTCAGCAGGGCTGGGGAAAGGCAAAAATGGGGGCATTTTTACGAAAACCAGCCCATTTTCTGCCCCCTCCTTTTTTTTTTTTTGCAAAAATTGGTGTTTTTGCCTTCCCCCAGCCCTGCTGAAGCCTGCAAAGTGCTCTGGGGGCTGCAGAGGACAAAAACTTTTTTTCTTACTTACCTCTTTGAAATCTTATACACTGGTGCATCTTATAGTCTGAAAAATACGGTATTTATCTATTTTCATTTGCATGCTTTCAAACTGCTAGGTTGGCAGGAGCTGGGTCAAGAATGGGAGCTCACCCCATCATAAGATACTTGGCTCTCGAACTGACAACCTTTTGGTTGACAAGTCCAGAATCTTAACCTCTAGGCCACCGTGCACCTGACAGCATTTCACAACTTCAACACATTCACTCAGGCCTAACTCTTTATTTCCAACTCCGGTGCCAAGACACAGAGGCAGCATCTGAGCTGTGCAAATCCTGGCGGCCACAACTTTGCAGTTAATACAGAGAAATTACTGCAATTTAGCCATTGTTAGGATAGTCGGTCGGTTCCACCACAAAACCGCGGTCAACTAAAGCCCACTCGCCGAAACCGCNTGGAAGTCTTTAAGAAGATGTTGGATAGCCATTTGTCTGAAATGGTATAGGGTTTCCTGCCTAGGCAGGGGGTTTGACTAGAAGACCTCCAAGGACCCTTCCAGCTCTGCTATTATATTTCCTGAGTTCCTTTATATACATATCACCTTTCTCCACTTTGGACACCACTTTCTCACCAATGTATCAGCAAGGGAGAGGAAAGCAGATTTTCTGAATGTTGACAGGCATACTGAACATCCTTGGCAATACATTGGAGCAACCAGCAATGCCAAGATTTAGTAAGATTAAATAAGCCAGAGCATAATACTAAGCAGTGGTGGGATTCATTTACCTTTGCTACAGGTTCGCAAATGAAAGAGCGCTCGCAGAAGGTCGCACATTATGTCAGTGCAGGTGAGCGGAGCCTCCAGCAGCAGCTGCTACCGGTTTGCCTGAACTGATAAGAAACGGGTGAATACCACCTCTGATACTAAGGCTAAATTTTGGAAACTGCAAATCACTTGGATAGAACTATGCTAAAATCTTCTGGGCGATCAGAGTGAAAATGAACTATTGCTCAGCTATAGGTACATATATATTTTGCTTCTATATGAGCCACATTCAGTACATGACATTTCCTATCATGAATGAGGGGGCTGGAAATAATCCCTGCCTAAAGCTCTGGAGAATCACTTTGGTTAAAGTAGACGATGGTTGAGTTCATATCTTATGTTAAACTATGGTTGGATTTCAATAATTTGCTGGGGCTCACATTAAATCATCATAACTGGTTGACAAATCAGAAGGCTGGATTTACACAACACTAAGCCAAAACCAAACCACCTTTTGGCTTGGTGGAATGTGCACATTGAATCATTATTACCCTAGCTGGACCAAAGATTTAATTTTCAATAAAACAGCTATATATGGAAAATTTATTTCTAACTGGGAATGCTGAGTCAGTTTTGTACTTTTTTTAAAAAGCGCATGGAAAATTTGTCAAGCTTAACACACACACAGACACACAAACCTCCTGTATCCAGTAAAAATAGCAAAGTTCTGTGGTATGTTGAAGACTAACCAAGATCTTATGGCAGTATATTTGACAAAGCAGACTCTGACTTCATGAAAGCTGAAATGGTGTTTATGATGCAAAGAGGCTCTGTTGTTTTTGCTGCTTGCAGCAAGTTCACATAGCTGCTCTTCTGGAATGTAGGCCTAATTAAACTGGTTGGCAACATCTGTATGAAAAACACCAGGCTTAGCACAGTTGAACGGTTTAACAGTGGAATTTCACACTATAGGATTTTGTGAGTCCCTGCTGATGAAACAGAAAAATTACAATATTATAATTTTGTACAAAATACTGCTACAGTTATCTATAACTTCAGCTTCTGACACCTAGGAGTGTATTTTAAATCCTGTCTCCCTTATAATTGCAAGAGAAAATTATAGAAAAGACGAAAGAGGATGGCTTTAGTAAATTAAGCCCCTCCCCCCTAAAAGGTCTGGCCAGAGACATTAAAGAAGAAGCCTCAACTGTTAACCTTCATTTACAGCAGAGAAATAAGGGAAAGAACTTTTTCCCTCAAACAATTCTAAGTATTATGCAATGTACAGCATTTCTATATTGACACGTCCTATACCCAGTGATTGAATTGTTTTGGCAGATTCAGTGTATGAATTGTCATGCTTGTTATGGATTAGGTGTGGTATACCTGATTAGCTTCTACTTATTTGGACTTCAGTCGGTGGTTAGTGGTTAGTCTGTTGGCGGTTAATGTGTGGAAAGACTGATCTACATAACCTCCTTACTGTAGTTCAAACATGCCCCACCTACCATTTGCTGAGGGTATGTCTTTTTTTCGGGCATTCTGCTGTTGAGACAAGCCAAAACTGAACCAAATCTGTATGGAGAATCCATGCCCCATGGAGAAGGAGGCTTGAGATAATGTGATTATGATTGGTGCCAGTGATCTACTGGGCTACAGTTGGCCCACTGGACCTGCTATGAACCACCCCTTTCCCTCAGGGTCACTGGACTTGGATGTTCTGCAGTACCATTTTGGCTGCAATTCATGACGGTTGGAGAATTCTGGGAGTTGAAGTCCATACATCTTAAAAGTTGCCAAGTTTGAGGGGAAAAAAACAATTTAAAGCAGGGCTGTCAAAGTCCCAGCCCACAGGTCGGATGCGTCATGCACTGGCCACACTCAGCTTAGCGAAGGGGGAAAAAGTCCCAATACGTCACATGATGTCACCATGACAATGTGAGTTTTGACACCCCTGATTTAGAGGGAGCTGAAGCCCTGAAATTGATGAAAGTATCCCTAATTTAATGTATATAATTGATGGTTGAAAAGGTTCCCCTCTTTAACTTATGTGGCATGAGCAACTGGGAATTCCCTTCCCAAAGGCCCTGGCTTTTCAATTCCTCTATACATGGAACGTTCTTTATTTTTTTAAAAAATCCATTCCATCATAGAATGTTCCATGGTATGGATGTGGCCTTAGCATACAGCATACAGCATACAGCATACAGCATACAGCATACAGCATACAGCATACAGCATACAGCATACAGCTCAAAGTGATCCAGCATCTCTGCACTCAGGACATGCAGAAAAAACTACTATAGTTATTTCATGCCACCTAGTGGCCAATAGATAAATTATCAGTAACTTTGAAACAGTTACCACTATGTGTNGCATCTCCACAGTCATGTGATCAGGTTTTGGGTGCTTGGCATATATCTATGATAGTTGCAGCATCCCAGGATTGTCATTTGCAATCTTCCTAAGGAGCTTCTGACAAGCAAAGTCAATGGGGGAAGCCAGTTTCACTTAATGGCCACAGGATTCATTTAACAAGTTTAGTGATTTGCTTAACAACCATGCAAAAAGGTTATAAAATAAGACATGATTCACTTAACAACTGTTTTGTTTAACAATGGAAATTTGAGGGTCAATTGTGGTTTTAAGTCGAGGGCTACCTGTACTCTGAAACATTACCAGGAGATCCCAAGCTTATTTCAGTCCATACCTTCTAGGCACAACTGAGATTCTTAATGGCTTAGTTTCTTGTGCCATCAAAGCAAATTGTGGTTTTTAACAAACTCTGGTTAAGGAAATAAGACAGGACAAAACCAGTCCTAGTGTGGAAGTGAGTGCAGTCTTGCTTTGTCTCAGCCTACTGTGATTATCCTGATAGTCTTTGAATAAAAAGTATCTTCTTTCCTGCTTTTCACCTCTTCCCTTTACTGAAATCAAACTCTCTCCTTCCCACCCCAAATCCACAATAGCCTGAAGATTTTATGTACAGAGAGTCTGAATGCAAAATATTTTCATCTGAGTCTCGTCTCAATGTGTTTGGCTTCATTATGGATGAAGAGACCTGAGTTTTAATAGCAAATCCATTTGACAAGAAAAGCTATTAACCTCTGTTTCCCGTATCAGTATTCTTACAGCAGCACATTTTAGTTAAAGTAATCTTCTTTGTTCCTGGAGGCTGCTTGCAGATAATGCAGACATTATCCTTATCTCTGAAATAAATAGAACAAGGTGGCATTTCAAATATTGTTGCAAGCTTGAATGAGTCTATAATCAAAGAACTGCAGAAAGGAAAGAGCAGAAAAGGGCAGAGGGCTTTTTTGTTAGCAGCATGCAACAGAAAGTCTCCCCAGGATTAATAACCCCAGGTTTTGCTTGTGAAAATAGCTGCTGAGTACTATAAAGGAACGGAAGAAGAGTGACTCATGGCTACGTTATTTGTAGTCTGCTTTGGAGTGGTTGCATTCATCACTGGCGCTGAATCTTTCCAACTTCTGTTGTCTCTTTGTATTTCAGTGATCAGAGCAAAGGCTGTCTCTGAGAAAGAGGTGGACTCTGGGAATGACATCTATGGAAACCCCATCAAACGCATCCAATATGAGATCAAACAGATAAAGGTAACAAACAGCTACACGAGAACCCTAGCTTTGGCTATAGTCCCCAGGTTAAGAATGACTTCTATTCCTAACGCCGTCTTTAACTCAAACTTGTATGGAAGTCAGAACTTGTACTTAACAAATGGGGACAGCCTGTTACTAAAAAAAAGTGGGGGATGACATTGTCCTTCCTTGGGCTGATGAACTGCTGAAGCTGCAAAATGCTTTCAGGAACTGCTGAAAATGGCTGAAAAAAGGCTTATATATTAAAAATTCACAGCTTCAGTGGTTCCTGAAAGCATTGCATGGATTCAGCACTTCATCGGTTCAAGGAAGGGAGAACACTGTTTGCCATTTTTAGCAATAGGCAGCCTGTTTGTATTCGGAGATAGTCCTTAGTTTCTGAACCTGGGGGCTGCCTGTGTAACTCTGCCTTATACATACACACAAAGAAGAGCAACAGCAATTCAGAGTAAAACAGCAGAGAACCTATAAACCAGTGGTGAAATCTAAAAAAGTTTTGCCACCGGTTATCAGACATGCCTCCTTCAAAATCCAAGAAAGGAAACCCCCAATTCCATTGTTTTAGAGAAAATGTACTTTTACTGGATATGAACTGATAGCAACGAAAGTAAAGGAATATCTGAGGCTAAAGGCACGAAATTGTACATATCAAAAGTTTACCCAAATTCCTCTCCCCAACATCCTCAAGCTGAAAGTCCAATCTCCAGCCCCCAAGGGTGTCATGTGGGGTGCATCTTCAGGTAGCTTCATCCATCTGGTATGCAGAGATGGTTGACCTTGACCAGACCTAAACAAGACCATTCAGCATGCGCAGAAGATGGTGAGAACAAAACTCCCTCTTCATCCCGAGATATCTCCTCCAGCACGATTCCCCTCCCAAATACCGAAACCCCCCCCCCCCCCCCCCC